GGGACTTGGTGAATTTGCCCGAGGGTTATACACCCATTGGTTGCAAATGGATCTTCAAAGTGAAGACAGACAGGGATGGAAATGTATCAATATACAAAGCTAGACTGGTGGAAAAAGGTTATAGACAAGTCCACGGGATTGACTATGATGAAACTTTTTCACCAGTTGCAATGCTAAAATCCGTCTGGATCATCCTAGTGATTGCTGCATATTACGATTGCAAAATATGGAAAATGGATGTCAAAACCGCCTTCCTTAATGGGATTTTGGAAGAAACTGTGTATATGACACAACCAGAAGGTTTTGTCGATCCAGGCAACGCTGGAAGGGTTTGCAAGCTGAAGAAGTCCATTTATAGACTAAAGCAAGCCAGCAGAAGTTGGAATCTGCGATTTGATGAAGCCATTAGCAAGTTTAGTTTTATCAAGAATCTAGATGAGTCTTGTGTAAACAAGAAGGTCAGTGGGAGTGATATTGCATTCCTAGTCCTGTATGTCGATGACATACTGCTCATTGGAAACAGCTCAAAATTATTGGAGTCCGTAAAGGGCTGGTTGGGAAAGTGATTTTCAATGAAGGACTTAGGAGAGGCACAGTACATATTGGGCATCAAGATCTACAGGGATAGATCTAAGAGGATGATTAGATTAAGCCAGAGTACTTACATTGATAAAGTACTGGCTCGATTCAACATGGAAAATGCCAAAAGAGGGCATTTACCCATGTCCCATGGCGTAACTCTCAGCAAGAAACAGTGTCCGCAGACACCTGTTGAGCGAGAAAGAATGAATCAGATCCCATATGCTTCGCTAATCGGATCGATCATGTATGCCATGATATGTACAAGGCCAGATGTATCGTATGCCCTGAGTGCAACGAGTCGATACCAATCGAACCCAGGAGAGGCGCATTGGACTGCGGCCAAGAACATCCTTAAGTACTTGAAAAGGAACAAGGATAAATTCCTGGTGTATGGAGGCCACAAAGAACTGGTTGTTGAAGGTTACACCGACGCTAGCTTCCAAACTGACAGAAACGACTTCAAGTCACAGTCGGGCTACATATTCTGTCTGAATGGAGGAGCGTTTAGCTGGAAGAGTGCCAAGAAAAGCACCACTGCAGACTCTACAACTGAAGCCGAGTACTTGGCCGCTTAAGAAGTTGCCAAGGAAACTGTTTGGATTCGCAAGTTCATTAGCGAACTTGGTGTTGTACCCTCAATCAAGGGGCCGATAGACCTATATTGTGATAATAATGGAGCTATCGCTCAGGCCAGGGAGCCGAGAGAACACCAGAAGGTCAAACACGTGCAAAGGTGATTTCACATGATAAGGGAATGGAAATCCGAAGGTGAAATCAAAATTTGTAAGATCGGCACGGATGATAATGTAGCCGATCCTTTGACTAAACCTTTGCCTCAAGTGAAACACAACAAGCACATTGAGGCAATGGGAATCAAGCATGTTGGAGGCTGGCTTTGAAATTCCCTGTACATGTGTTTTAATTAAATAGGATATTTAATGTAAGACACTGTATTAAAACCATTCATCAATGGAGTAATTAATTTTTGTGCAAAATTATCATTCACTCCATTACTATTTAATTGTGGTTTAGAATTAAATAATGAGGCCATTCGATTTACGGAAATATTAAAAACAGGGTATCAAGACCATGTCTTGGATAAAGAAACACCTGTTAAGTGAACATTGAATATTAAATCGAAAAGTGTCCCTAATCGGGGTTATCTAACAGATGGACGATTGATGACCGCCATAGATTAGTGTGTAGTATGATTTACAACACTGTTTCTTGTGCTGCGAGGACGTGACGGTCATAAATCATTTGCACAGGTAAAGTTTGGAACTATACTGGATAAGACCTATGAGAGTACTCTAAAAAAATTTAAATTTTGTCATAAGTACATTTCTCATTATGACTATCGGAACTTATTTCCTCCGACCATGAGTATTGTGAAGTTTTCTTGTTTGAGTACTAGACTCTTTGATGTTTCTAAACGTCTGCCGTAACTGGGGATCATAACGGGAACACTCGGGAGACTGTGTCCTCTTAGTAAGAAGAACTTACAATACAAGACTGGGATTGTCCACCTACTAACAATAGGGAAAATGTTTTGTTGTTTATAAGGCCGCTCGAAGAGCGAGACTGTGAAAATGCATGGCCGTGCTCAGATGGATTTTAGAAATCATCTGCTTATTGACAGTTGAATTCGAAGATCGAGAAACACTTCTAAACGTAATAAGGATGACAAAGAATCTAACCTTATAGTTCACGAAGAAACATTAAGTGACATAGGAAATGAGCTATACACTGTATGCACACTTATCCGGAAGGAAAAGTGGGAGATTGAAAGGAATGGTGTCCTTCCAACAAGTGTATTCTTCCGATAGAGGGTTTAGAATTATTACAAAGCTAATTCTTCAGTAAGGTCAAGTGATCGGAATGCCTAGGTGGAGGCCGCTTCCGGTCAATAATATCGAGGTACAATTGATATTACAGCTTGATCTTAACTGAACCCTTCGGGTCGAACCCAATCGAATCACCGATCCGAGACGACGAATTAATCCGAAAGGATTTAATGAGTCGACAGAGTTTTACGAATACAGACGTCGGACATCGAGCCTAGGGCGTCGAGACCGAGCGTCGCAAAATCACAATCGACAAGTATGAGCGTAGCCATAGCTAGTCTAGGCTAGCTCATCATAGGCACTAGGCGTGCCATAGCAGCCCTAGCATCATGTGTAGGCGCTATCGCAGCCTTAGCGTGATGGCTAGGCACCATGGCTGGCTATCGCTAGCACCAGGCGCACCAACACAGCCCTTGCATCATGCCTAGGCGCTATCGCAACCCTAGCACAATGCTGGGCGCCATCGCAGCCCATCGCAAGCCAGCTGCATCACTAGGCGCACCATGCGTGCCCTAGGATGGCTGGGCACCATCGCAGCCCAGGCAGCATCACTAGGCGCACCATGCGTGTCCTAGGATGGCCTGATGCCGTAGCAGCCCTAGCATAATGCTGGGCGCATGGCAGGACCACACGCACCAAGCATAGCTAGTGCTAGGAACTGGCGCATGCGTGGTGCGTGGTGGTTAGGCGAGGCATGTACGTGCATGGTGCACGGTGCATGGCCGAGGCTGATGCGTGTGGTTGTGCGAGTATGTGCAAGGGCCTAGCAAGCTAGCAACGTCAGGCCTAGCATGCGTGGCTTGCTAGCAGCACGCATGCTAGGCATTGCGTGCGAGAGAGTTGATGCGTGGCGCGCATGATGTGCGAGTGTGGTGCGAAGCGAGAGGCCAGCATGCGTGGCTCGCTAGCAGCACGCATGCTAGGCCATGCGAGCATATGGTGCAGCGATGATGCGTGGGATGTTTGCACCAGCGCCAGCACGCACCAGCCAGCACCAGCGCTACTGCTGGGCTTGTGCTAACATGCTGGGCTAGCTGGCACAGCCAGCTGGCGTGCTAGCTGGAAGTTGGCCAGCAGCCTTGGTTGAGGCGGTTTGCGAGGAGAGTGGGGACCAAGGCTTTGTGAAAGCCTTGGGGAGCAAGGCATTGGTCCCCCCCACCTCTCCATGGTCCTCACCTAATACTCTCTCTCCCTTTGACACTTGTCGAATTGTGATTGCATTTATTTATTAATTTATTTTAGAAATAAATTAATTAGCAAATAAAACATTCTCCCACATTGGTTGGGGAATGAAATGCAAGGGTTCATTTCCCTATAAATACCAAGCTTGGGTATTGGGAAATGAACAACCTTGAGTGGAATTAAAAAGGCAACTCTAAGAAAAGAGTAAACCTTTGATTCGTAAAACTCATAGTTATTTTGTCCGGGTCTTGACTAACCTTCAAGACTTAGGACGCTCGGGTCGGGTCGCGGGTACGATCCGTCGGAGATCTCGTCTTTTCGGGATTTTGAAGTAAGAGCTCTTTGGGAGCGAAGCACGCGTCAAAGGTATAATTCTTGTCCTTAATCTTGTTTGATTAAGTTTATTACGCTTGTTTAATTGCTTTAATTAAGGGGCGGGTCTTGGTGGGTTTCCTTCCGCGTAGTGTCGGGTCACTACGAAACCCCACAAAACTTATTTGCAATTGATGGGTCTTTACCCTTTATGCAAATTAATCAAGTTTCAAACATGATTTTCGAACATGTAGTCTTTTATTGATTTTTATGGCCTCTAACCATTTTCGGAACTTGGATTTGTCGTAGCTATCTCACAAGATACTATTCCCTTACTATCCAATAGTAAATAGTATACTTGTGAGTATTAGGTTCATTTCTAACTTAATAGAAACTTTACAGGATTCAATCCAAGCCATTTAGTGAATTCTATACCTATACGGGGTAATTGCATCAAACACTGAGTCTCAAGGCGCTTCTAAAGCCCTTTGATTATATTGATCTGACTCCAACATTTGAAAAGTTTTAGAAGTAATGAATTCTCTTAAGGCACTTTGTAAAAGTCCTTTGAGTGTTCTTGACTTATCATTCTCATGAAGCCCTTCCAAAGTCTTCCGAGATTCTCAGTTCTAGTTTGTTGCTAGTCTCGATGGTCATCGAGTTCATTTTCCTCTCAATTGTCATTTTGAAAATGTGTTACTTTCCATAAAGACACCACTTAGAGCAACAAGTATTATGTTCCAATTTTGGTTGTGGAAGTAATGCCCTTTGTCTCACTTGAATGCTTTCAAAGAGACTTGAATATTATTTTTTGGTAAAAGTTCGTTGTGAAACAAACAGTTAGCTCCCACTTGAGCTACCTTAGCCTTTATTGAGAAACTTAGCTCCCACTGAGCCAATGAGCTCCCATTAAAGCTAAGAGCACTAGACATATACTTGAAAAGACACTAGAAACTATTTTTTTCCATAACTAAATATGGTGTCTTTTCTTAGCTACAACAATTTTGTTTAGCGTAACATTAGTCCACTACTACAAAAAGCGTTCTTTTTAGACGCTTTTAAGCCATTTTTTGACACAGAAAAGCGTCGAGAAAAAGTGAGTTGAGAATTTTGCCGACATAAAAAAGCGTCGCGAATCTCGACGCTTTATTTTGTCCAGATTTATATACGATGCGTCACAATTTGCAACATTTGGCACACTTTCTTAACTTTGGCGACACTTTTTCATGTCTATATTTTCTAATTTGGGGACGCTTTTTTTTGTCAATATTCTATAAATAAATATTTAGAATACCAAAATAAGATACAGATTTTATTCACCGACAATTATTTCTAGCATACTAATATTACCAAAAAAAAAAGATACACACACAACAAAATTATGCCAAATATTTTTTATTTCATATAAATGTACAATCTCATAGTAATGAGTTTTCTTTTAAAATAAATATAATTCCAACTTATACTTCATTCGTGACTATTTGTAGTGGAACAAATTCCGAATCACTGGTTCAAATCTTTTAAATAGCTAAAATATATCTTTCATCCATCCTTAAAATATTGCAGTGTTAGCTGTCCGCCCTCTTCTACCATTTCTCAATATATAATCTTTTTGATCCTGCAAACACATTTCAGCATATGCATCAATCAATACATCAACAAGCGAATCTAAATACAATAGTAGATCAAAATTACTAACTATATAGAGAATATAATATCTGAAATATATTTTCCACCTAGTAATTTAAGCAAATCAAAATCACAACCAACTTTCATAACTAATTATGGAGTAAAGAACATACCAAAAGTATCAAGGCATCCATACACTCAGAAGACAAGACATCATTTGCCAAATTCTTAAGTTTTGATTTCTACAATGAATATTAATAATAGATGAATATGCAAAGCCATGATAAAAAGAGAAAGAAGATGGTGGTGTACCTTTTTTCTTCTTGGCTATTCTCGTTACACGTCTAGTCGAAAGCCACAATTATGGTTTCTTAAGCTTCTTGCAAGGGGGAGTAAAACAAAGTTCAAATTGTGACAAAATGCCCAATTCAAAGAGGAAAAAACAGCCATTAACCTTTTAGAATTTCTTAGGAGAATATATACCTTATCGCAGTAGACCACAATTATGGTAACTCTTGATTCATACCATCACTAGAAGAACCATCATCACTATTCTTTTTTTTTATTATTTTTTTTTTATTTTTTATGATGTCAATTATTAGAGTAGAGAAAGCCACGAATCTAGCCTTAGTCTGACAATCTAGTTGTTTTGTTCTCTAATCAAGTGGAAATCATCCATAAGTTTTTTTATTTACCAATTCCTGTGCCATAGTAATCACATACAAGGGAAAAATGAACGCACAAGAAAATAGTAGCAGCAAGAAACACAAGGGAATAAAGAGTGCAATAATATTTTCAAACACCCTCAATATACCCTAAATCACCCAGGAAATCCCTAGAGAAAATAACAGAACAACTCTATTAAAATCCCACCCAAACAGCAAGAATAAACCAATCCGAACCAAAACAGACCAGTCCAAACAAAACAGCCCAATTTAATAGCAAATAAACTCCAAAAATTCTGAAATTTTAAAGTCAGAAAGTAGCCAAAAAAAACACCCACATTCAATAAAAGAATCACCTAAAAGCTTCTCTAACGAAGGAGAACGAGCCAAACGAAGTCAGCACTCATAGCAGCTCCTACAAAAATCAATGCAAATTGTGATGGAATTGTGAGACGAAGAACAATGCGATCATGCTCATTCAAAAATATGAAACAAAAGGCTAATTTTCTGAATTGAATTAAACCAGAAGCACATAAAGAAACGACACTTAAGACTTTAAGGTAATAACTAGAAGTCACCCCCTTCTCAGAATTAGGGTATTCAAGCACAATAAACCAGCAATACAAAAAGAAAGCATTTTTAAAAGAAGGCAATTAAAGTGAAATAATATTCATTAAAATAACTCAAAACTACACTAGAGTAAGCTGAAAGTAGAAAATTTTACCACCATGATGAAATGTTAAAACATGAATAAGACACTTATGCTTCAAAACGTTACCTACCAAAGAACGTAAATATTTCTAGCTGTGACAAAATGATGGCTCTTATATTCCTCTGATCTGGTTCACAATCTGCAAGAAATTCAGCATCGATAGTAGCTAGATTATGCAGAAGCATATAATATCAAGGACAAAAATGCTCATGGAAAACCTTCGAATCATCAGTCCTCGTTGTGTGATGTATCACCTAATTGGCAAGTCAACACAAGAAATTAAGTAAGCTAATTTTCATAAATCTATTGAACCCACAAACTTATTCAATGAGGTTGATGAATTATTTGGAAGGAGAGGCAGTGAGGCACCATTGTCAGAGGGATATGATAGTGGGTTATGATATCCTTAAACAATGTACTAAAAAACTAATTAGTTGAGCTATGATAATTTTGCTAATGATTCCTTAAACGTGGTACATGTATGCATCTTATTTGATGAGCTTAATAAAAAACTAATTAATCATGAGCTAAAGCTTAAAAATAAAGGTAATAAAGCTCAAATGTTTCCTGCCATCGTCAACTACACAAAAAAATCAGATCATTAACCTTGGCACCGTACATCAAAAGTAGCGAATAGTGGTTGTAGTCTGAACCTTTTACTAAACTAGCTATCTCAAACAGAAACACAGCTATATTTATCGACAGCAACGTACTTCTACATGTAAGAAAGTACATAAAATTGTTAAATCAACAAGAGGCAAATAACAAACTAACAGAAAATTACAGCAGAATATTAGCAGATAATTACATCAGATATAGATTTCCACTCTCTTTCTCATCGTACATAGGAAAAGATGCAGCCTTCCTAGCAACATTACCGCTTTTCTCGAATTCTTGTATTGCCATGCCTTTAATTTGATTCATGCTAATTCTGAACACTTCTATTTCAAATGCAGGATTTTAAAAAACCTTATTACTTCAAAAGGCAAGATTCCGAAAAATGAATTAATCAAACTACCCTATTGCAAGATTTACAACCCTCATTTCAAGGCCATTCATTTTTCAAAAGAGATAGTATTCCATATAATCATCAGGATTCTATAGTTTTATTAATTAAGTATTTTTTTTATGTGAGCAGAGAGCCAGAGAGTACAAATAAGACAAAAAAAATTACTTAATCGTAATTTTATGCTACAATTCAGTTGAAGAAAAATATGTTACAATTTAGTTGAAGAGAGTAGATTTTAATCAAAGTTCATCTTTTGCTAACTCGTAATTTCGTAGTATAATCTATAATAAAATGATTTCTCTCTTATATTTATAAATATTCAAACATGGATGAAAGTTTACCAAAAAAGGTTAAAGTTGCATACAAAACCCTTGCACATAAAATGGCTCTTTTACCTATAAATAAGTATGAAAAAGTTCTTAAATAAATAAACATATCTCCAGACAAGCTCGTAAATTTCGTTCCCAGTAGTTTCTGAAGCAATTGCTGACCTCCTTGGAAAAAAAAGTAAGCTTAGATTTATTAAACTCGAGTCCTAGAGTCCTATAGGTAAGTTATTAATACATAAAGAGTGTTTCTTTTATTGATTTTAGTCAAAGTATATAACAAGATGAAACTAAAAAAGGTCCTACAGGCAAGTGAGGTTAGGCCACAGGTGAGCTTAGCTTTGTCAGAGTAGAATCCTAGTAGTTTTATAAATTCACAAAAAGGATTTCTTTTATTGATTCAATTCTAAGTAACACAAGATATGACACAATCACAACCACAAACACACACACACACACACACACACACAAGGTAGGACACAAACAAGCCATGAAGATAGCTGGGGCAGCAGCTCAGTCAACAAAGGAAGGCAGTAGCAAGTTTGCAACAACACCTCAATGTGTGCAGCAACAACATCAAACAATAACAAAAACATAACAACAATTAATAACAATAGCAACAACATACGTACCTGCAACACCCAACGTGGCTGCTATGTTAGTAAGACATGAGCATCAGGGAGATCAAGTGGAGAAAAAACTTCTTCAAAACCTCTTAATCACAGTCCCTAGTACACCCTTAAAAAAAAGAATGACAGAAAGCAAACCAAAAGAACTTTAACACTGTATTTGATGCATAGATCTAGAGGAGGAATTAATTATTAAATTGAAAAATCATATACAAAATTACAAGTAACATTTGCTAGGTAAAAGCAACAACCAAAGATGAATTGAATTTGATTAAAACTAACTAAAAAATAAACAAAAATCTATCAAACAGCCAATTAAATACAGTAAAAAAGAAAAAGAAACTGTCAATCCGGTTTGGTTCTTACTGCTTCTCAAAATCTCAACTTTTCCTTAGGAATTTGCTTCAAAATTTCCAATTCAATCGATTGAATATAAACTTCTTTTAACTTCGCACATAAAATCTGACTATACTATTTCTTATAACCAAATATTTACCCAGATTCAAATGTAAATCGCAAAATGAAGCATAACATTGTATATATAAATATAATAAAACCCTATAATCTCTGTACTGCTATTAAAAAATCAAACAACATCAGATCATAATTTTGTGATAATATTGAAAAAAAAGTTGCTAAAACCAATTTAATAAACTTCAATCAAAAGCGAAATTCGAATTCGTTCTAAAATGAAAGATGTACCTTAACGGCGGCATAGAGAGTGACAAATCGATTACAGTTCAAAGTGAGTAGAGAAATTTCACCAAGCATAATTTGGGGAATTGCAGGGAGAGTTAAGATCTAGATTTAGAATTCATGAATGAATCTCATGAAGGAGGGAGGAATAATTAGGGTTGAGAACTAAGTAGTCTTTTTTTTTTTTTTGGTTTATTTTCCCCTTAAAATTTGAAATGTGGGCTAAGTTGTGAGGTACTAATAATTCACGTGCGTGACATGTGCTTGTCTTCTCGACGCTTTCCAGCGACTTGCTTTTGTCACCTAAAAGCGTCCAAAAAACGCAGATACTAAATCTACCTGCTGACACCCCTTATCTATCCTCGAGGCACCAGCGTCGAAAAAACACTCATTTTGTAGTAGTGGTCATTTGTGCATATCTCTAATAATGTTATAGGAAGAGATGAGATTCATCATTGTTCGAGTCATTTCCAAATGGCTTCAAGGTCTCCGTCAAGATATACTATATTCTTTGTGGAGTTGATTATGAAAATCCAATTTCATAACCTTAAGATGATCACTCTTAGCTCAAGCAAACGTCGCTCGATCTAATCTAGACGTTTTGATATCATGCCAAGTCGATTGCATACTTTAATAAACTTTTGAGCTATTCAAGATCCAGTTTGTTCTAATTTGATGAATATAGCCATATTCTTTCAAATTCTCGTGAAAACGTTGAAGTAGTGGAATTCTCTTTAGCTTTCAGAGTTAATTGTCTATACCAAGCATAATAGTTCCTTTCTTTGTCGGTTTCAACAAGTAAGACCTCTTTGCCTTTGAATGATTCTTAATCGATCAACTATCAAGAGTTTATCTAATACAGCCTTGAGTATGTTCTTGTTGATGTGACATTGCTAAAGATAGACGGAACACAAATCATGTCCATGACTTGAACCTTGTGAATTTATGTTAGGGAAATTTTTATTTATAATCAGGCATTCTTGGCTCATGGCTTAAACAACCATGTCATTCAAATAAAACCAATAACTATTGTTATTTTACTTTGAATGTGAGTCTTTCCATGTGTAAACAGAATGATTGCTGATTATTGAACACAATAACCAATTTGTTCCAGCCTTAGCTTTAAAAGGTCTTTAAACAAAGAAGATGACCTTACAGTTGATGTAGCACCTACGTGCTTCATTTCCAAGCTCGTAAGTCAATAACTTAGCTTAACTTATTTTGTTTTGAGGTCACTTAGAAAGTGGAACCCTCAAGCAGTATCTAATACTTGTGAAGATAAGTTGATGTGTTTAACTAAGATAACATGAACTCTTAGGTAGAATTGGAATCTCAAATTCCTTTTCTTTGTTTCTTGTTTTCTACATTTCTTATCATACATCATCTCATAACTTTAAGAACATTTTCTTTAAGTGTTTTGACGTTTATAATTTGTTAAGCATAATGAAACATTAATGCATTGTAAAACAAAGCTCCATCTTTTCCTTTAATTCATAATTGAATTACTACATCAATGAGTCCTACCCATTAGTGTATGAAGCGAAACAATATGTTGATTGTCATTCTTTGACAAATTAAGTTTTGAACTCAATACTTCATGCTTATCAAAACTACCTAGTATTTTGAATACATAATGTCCAACTGTCCTTTCGGACTTAGCCATAAAAGTCATTCATAAGAAGTTGTATTTTAGAAGTGCCTCTTCTTTCTTTGAAAACCATTCTCAAAAGATTTCCTTTTACCAATCGTTGGAAACATTATAATTTAATTTGATTTAGAATTCTAAAAATATAAGTGCAAAGTATAACCATTTATCAATAAAATAACCTAATAATAAGCTTTGAAATACAAGCAAAACTAGTGATTTCAATCAACTTATTTACGCTTTATTTAATTTAAAATTTGTCCCATATGAATGAATAAACGATTCCAAGATCCCAAAAATCAATAACTTATTAAGCATGCTTTGGCTTGTCTTAACACATAATAATTTAAGGTAAGCAATTTAATTTCTAATAGCTCCAAGCTATTCTTGATTCATAAATCATCGCATCCAATGTTTCCTTGACGATTATCTCCTTTGCCTTGACATCTAAGGACTCCTTGTTGATATCGTTGAGTTTACCCAAAACTAACGTGTATATGATGCTTTGCTTTACAAAACCCATAAACATACCTCACTTCCCTATGAAAGTAGTAATGTCTTGCTTCGGCATAGCCCATTACTATTCTCATTAGTTCATAAGTGTCATCTTGGAATGACAATTTCGACTCAATATTCTTTGGGACTTAGGGTTTCTATGTTGGTTGATTTAAGTAAACGAAATTAATCATTCAACATTAGAAATCCTAAACATTCATCTAATATCGCAATTATATATAAACAAAATATATATAAAGCATAAATAAAGATGCATTTGGCAACTAGCATGACCCCTTGAAACTTGAATCTTCAAATCTTGAAGGGTCTTCATTGCATCTTCTTGGCTTTGTCTACGAGACATCACCACCAATTATGCAACTACTAGAAAAGCTAGGACTAATCTAAATAATTTAAGAAAAAAAATACTTAACGACATGCAGTCCGTATTTAGATTTACAAAAATACAAAACGAAACGCAGTTCATATTTACTATCCTAGTCGGGCCCCACTAGTTACCATTTTGTAATAACCTGCATTAGAATATCTATTCCATTAATCCATTCATTTCTAAAGGGAATGGACCATGCATTTTATAAAATAAATCAAGCAATAATGCAAAACGAGCGCAAACTAGTAACTAACTTAGGCGGTTAATCCGATTAACGCGCCTAATTAAACCTAGTCAAAGTAATTATTCGATTATGTGAAATAATGCAACAATAATAGCTCAAAACAATTAATGAAGCTCCCACAAAATTCCACATCAAAATTAATTAAAATTAATCCAATTAAAATTAATTAAGCATGTTAACCTAAAATTTTGCCAAATAATTATCCAAGTGCCGCGAAAAATCAAGGCATAGCCTCGATTTATTTAAAACAAAACCGCAAAATTGCAAAAATAATAACCCACAATGGCCGAGTGCCTAGCTTCCAAGCCATGAGGCTAGGCTTGCTAGGCACCCAACCTAGCTACTATGCGCGGGTGCTAGCCGCACAACAACAGCAACGCGCAAGCGCCTGCCAGCACTAGCAGTGTCGCTTTGATTTTGTGCTTGTTGTGCATCCGGATTTTATTCGGTTTTTTTTACATAAAAATTAATTCTAAATTGATTTTATAACTAATATTGAGCAATATTGAAAATAAAACTAGTCCAACTTAATTAAATTCGATTTTAGTACAAAAACAAAAATTAATTCAAGAACCATTCTTTAAATTATTTTTGGCTCAACTTGATGCTACAAAAATTGAGGGTTATTCTCACAAATAATTTAACCAACATAAATTAACAATGAGATTTGACAAAATAGTTGAATAAATAACCAATCATCCAATGAAATAATTTATTCAACACTTACTTATGCACATTTGAATATTGTAACCTTCCAATATGAAGAACAATAATATTTCAAGCACAAGTATGAACATTTAAGATTTTAATCAACTTCCAAAATGATTAAAACCAAAAATTTGTTTATTATGGAATTTAGCAAGTTAAGATTCAACCGTTTAAACCATTAAAGATTGAATCTTTAACATTTTAAGGGCTTCAAAATCATAATTCACCATAAAATTTCACACTACAAGCAATTTATTTGCAAGAATGTGATATTTCAAGTTTATGTGAAATTAAGAGCTCACCAAATCAAGCAACCAATATGACTTCATAAACATGATTAATAAGGGTTAAATTGCAGATTATTAATGGTATAATGAAACACATAATCCAACAATTGCATGCCATTATTAATCAAGGTTTAAAGATTTAAAAAATTTTGTCAAAAACGAAAAACCCATCGAAAAACCACTTTCTGGGTGAATTTTGGCTTCTGGAAGGCCATTTTTAAAAACAAAGCGGGTAAAGCCTGATTTAGAACGTCAATTCCACCCAAAATTCACTATTTTTGAGTCAAAATCGGAGTTCGTAATCCAAAACTAACAATAATACGATTTTAATCCAATTAAAAACGAGGTCCTAATCTAATTAGGATGCTAAACCAGAAATTTAAATCCATTTAAATCACCATATTTAATTTTTAGTTGTAAAAATTAAATGCAAGTGGCTCTTATACCGTTGTTGGGTTTTGCTGTGTCCGACACCGCGCAAAAACAAAACTCGATAACCGGATCGCATGCATAATAATTACAACATAAACAAAAGCATGCAAATAAACAAACACATGAACACATAAAGAGAAGAGAGAAAGAAACTCACCCTCAACGTGTGCTTTGCTCACTCAATCAGCTCAGACTTGAAAGCTTCAAACTTCGCAAGTGCGAAACCTCCGACGGCTCACACCCTTGCTCACCGAACCAGAACCGGCCCCTACCCCGTAGCTTAGACGAGGCTAGACTAAAAATAACTTAGAGTTTATGAACTAAGGTTTTCTCGCTTTTGGAGATCCCTTAAAGTTCACCAAATCAAGTGAAATTCCAAATATCCAATGATTGGTATTTATAGGGAAATGTTCCCAAGATTTCACATCATCTTTCAATGTGGGATAGTTGGTAAAATTCCAAAAAGAATGAATAATTTAATTCTAAATTAAATTAAAATGGCAAAGCAATTAGCAAATAACAAGTGTCACGAGGAGAGAAAGGGAGTAGGTGAGGACCACAAGGGAGGACCACACCTCCCTTGCTCCCCAAGCAAACCACCTTACTCAACTGGGTCCAATAGGCGCGCGCCAGCTGGCGGCTGCCTTGGCAACCAAAGCTGCCTCGCTGACGCCTAGTGCCTGGGCTGGGCCTGCCAGATAGCCCACGCGGTAGAAGCCCTCATACCAGCACACCTCGCATTGATGCGAGCCGCTGTGCGCTGCTGGGCTCTACTATCGCTAGCCTAGCCCTAGCGAGCTACTGCTGCTGCTACCTCGCGCAAGGCCCAGCGAGCATCGCTTTCTGCTGGCTTTGCTTGCGAGGGTGCCTTGCTAGCATGCAGCACACAAGCTTGCGGGGGTAGCGCTGCTAACATGCACGCTTTGTTGGGTTTTGTATTGTCCGACACTACGCGTAATGAAACCCTCCCAAAATCCGCACACAAATTAATGTAACTAAACATGCATATTAATTAACAATCACATAATTAATTAACAAAGAGAGAAAGAAAAGACAATCACACCCTTGATGCGTGCTTTGCTCTTTCTTAGAGCTCGTACTTGAAAGCGTAGAGCTTCGCAAATGCGCAATCCTCCAACGACACTCACCCTCGAGACCTTACTTGAATGGCCCCTACCCCAAAGCTTAGTCGGGGCTAGACCAAAAGTACTTAGAATATTGGAACGAAAGTTTT